GTTCCTTTTTCTCCACACCCTCGCCAATATTTGTTGTTGCTAGTTTTTTTAATATGTGCCATTCTCACTGGTGTAAGATGGTATCTCATGGTAGTTTTGATTTGCATTTCCCTGATTACAAGTGATGTTGAACATTTTTTCATATGTCTGTTGGCCATTTGCATTTCCTCTTCAGAGAAGTTTCTTTTTAGCTCTTCTGCCCAATTTTTGACTGGATTATTTTCTTTGTTGTTGTTGAGTCTCATCAGCTCTTTGCAGATTTTTGTGATCAGTTCTTTATCATTAGTGTTGTGTAAAAAAATGTTCTCCCAGTTGGTGGGGTTTCTCTTTGTTTTTGTTATTGTCTCTTTTGCTGTGCAGAAGCTCTTTAATTTGATGTAGTCCCAGCTGTTTATCTTTGCCTTCACTATCACTGCTTTGGGTGATGTGTTTGTAAAGATGTCTTTGATGTGCAAATCATGTAGTGTTTCGCCTATATTTCCTTCTATGTATTTTATGGTTTCAGGTCTTATGTCTAGTTCTTTAATCCATTTTGAGTTGATTTTTGTGTATGGTGTGAGGTAGTGGTCAAGCTTCATTCTTTTGCATGTGGCAACCCAGTTTTCCCAGCACCATTTATTGAACAAACTTTCTTTGCTCCAATGCATAGTCTTTGCTCCTTTGTCAAAGATTAGTTGACCATAAATCTGTGGGTTTATTTCTGGATTTTCTATTCGATTCCATTGGTCTGTGTGTCTGTTCTTGTTCCAATACCATGCAGTTTTGATGATTATGGCTTTGTAGTAGAGTTTGAAGTCTGGGAGTGTGATGCCTCCATTCCCTTCTTTTTTTTTTTCAGGAGAGCTTGGCTATTCGGAGTTTTTTGTAATTCCATATGAATTTCATCAATAATTGTTCTAGTTCTTTGAAGAATGACATTGAGATTTTGATTGGAATAGCATTGAATCTGTATATTGCTTTTGGTAGGATGGCCATTTAATAATGTTTATTCTACCAATCCATGAGCAGGGGATGTCTTTCCATTTCTTTGTGTCTTCTATTTCTTTTAATAGTGTTTTATAGTTTTCTTTGTATAGGTCCTTTACCTCTTCGGGCTCAGTGTCCAAGGCTTCCCCCAGGCGCTGAGCACGTGCTGCTGTCGCCCAGAATACAGGGCCCCCAAGGTCTACCTTGGCCAGCAGTACAACGGCCCCAAGGTGGACGTGTGGAGCCTGGGCATCATGCCCTACGAAATGGTGACCGGCACACTGCCCTTCAGGGGGCCCAGCCTCAGGGCAATCAGGGAGTGCGTCCTGGGTGGGAACGTCCACCAGACCACCTACCTCATGGTCCAGGGCGGGGACCTGCTGGCCAAAATGCTGGCACGGGACCCCTGGAAGCGCAGCACCCTGGAGAGCATCCAGCAGCACGCCTGGGTAGCAGAAACGAGCAGGGGACTCCTGCCCTTCAGCGAGCCGTCGCTCTGCCCCCTGGACCTTGCCATCACCAAAGGTATGGAGCGCCTGGGCTACCAGAGGCAGGAAATTCGGGAGGCCATTGACACTAACAAGTACCGCGAGGTCATGGCCACCTACCTGATCCTCCCCTCCAGGAAGCAGGCGGGGGAGGAGGACTATGAGGAGGAGGGCGAGGAGCGGCCCAGGCGCGTTACCTTCCAGGTGCTGAAGCGCGTCACTTTCCGGGATCCCAGTTACCCTGATTACAAGGACTCCCCACCTACCCCCACCCCGCCGGCACCTGAGGTTTCGGGGAATACCCCAAGGCCGGGTATCCTGGGAAAGCACCCAGTGCAGAAGATTGGAAAAGATACCCACCCCACTCCCTCAGCCTGAGGTTTTGGGGAATGCCCCAAGGCCAGGAATCCTGCGAAAGCAGGAAGTCCAAAAGAGGGGAAAGGATGTCACCCCGGGCAACAGGGTCATCTCCACCAGGTCCCTGAGCTGGAGGATGCGCAGCAGCACACCACTGCTGCAGGTCCAAGCCCCCTGCTAGAGGACACCCCAAAGGGCAGTCCTTCTGCGTAGGCCCAGAGCTGGAGGATGGCTGGGGGGACACCAGCACCTCTGTGGCTAGACCCCAGCTGGAGAACACTGGGGAGCACGGCAGAACCACTGAGACAGGCCCCCAGCTGGAGAGGGACCAGGAAAGCAGGGCCAACACAATCAGTCCAGCTCCCCAGCCCTCCAGCACCACCCTAAGACGTCCCCCAATATGTGACTGGCCTTCCAGTGCAGTGGCCCCTTCAGCAATCATCAGGGCCAGAGATAGAGTATTAGAAATTATCCTAGAATTTTGTTGCTGCTGTGCAGCATTGGAACTGGAGAGCAACAAAGATTAAAAATAGTGCCATACCCGGCAGAAGACCCCCCACCCCCAAAGAACAAGCACTCAGTGGCCATGGTGAACAGGAGTACACCAGGGAAGGTTGAGGCTCTGGAGAGGCTCCGGGGCTGGGCCCAGTCAGAGGGGCCAGGAGCAGCATGAGACTCACAGGACTGCAGCACAGAAGTCTGGGCAGCACTGATGTCCCAGGAGCAGAGCAGGTGAAGGACCAGGCAGGCAACGAAACTGGTGAAGCATCTGGAGAGGAGCAGAGCGGGTGAGGGTTGGCGTGCGGAGGGGTTGGGGAGAGTTGAGCAGGTACAGGACCAGGAGAGGGGTGTGGGGCTGTGTGGGCAGAGCCTCCAGAGGTCCCAGGGCCACAGGCGAGGAACCCTGGGCCTCTCTCCCCCATCTTAGGTACTGCCCCCTTGGTGGGAGAGACCTGCTGCTCACCCCTGGGCACACAGATGGTGCAGAGGATGCAGGAGCTCTTGCAAAGGCTTGGGCCTGGGTGGTAAATCGTGCAGATTGCAAGGAGCAGATAGAAAGGCTCTCTAGCTCCCCTTAAGAAAGACTCTGGGACCAGTATATTAGAATCCAAACGGGACTCTCCAAGGTGGGCAGAGGTTATTCACAGAGCAGCCCTAATCCACCATGACCTGCTCAGCTGGAAAATCCGCACATCTTCCTGCTCCACGAAGCCTAGGCTATGATCAGTCTCAGTCCCGCAGTGAGCACACCTAGGTGTCCAGTGTCCCCTGGGCCGAAGCTGCAGCTCGTCATGGAGTACGTGCAGAAGGGATTTTGCAACTTGGGATTCTTACACAGTGTCAGTCCAGCTGGAATTTCTCCTTTTAAAAATCCTCTCCAGACGGCTACCCACCCTTCCTCCTCCCTGGATTCAAACCCTGCAGGGTGACCTTAGCCAAATTGGAAACATTAATATCGCCCAACAGATGCAGGCTTTGAACACCAGTCTCTGCCAATTAAATCACTGGGTACAGGAACGAAAAACTACAGGGGCTGTCTACCTTAAATTGGTGTTTTTTCATTATTGTTTAGATGGTGTTCAATTCCCTTCTAAAACTAAGGTTTTGCTAAGTTTGGTAAATGCAAGTAAGGTGAGGTATGAGTGTTTGAAAAAAGAAATGTATGGAAGAGGGATATTCTGAAGGGCCTTAAGATAATGTAAAGCCGGATGGGTAAAATGAAATGGCATTAGAATGAAAGCAAGCAAAAGAAAGTGTTGAAGGTCTGACAGGGAGGTTTTGGTGAGAAATCGTGTGTACTCAGGTGTCTCCCCCTCCTCCAACACATTCATGGGCTTGCTCATCGGACCAGCAAAGCCCCCTCTGACTGAACTTTTGTCAGCTGAAGCTGGGGCCAGGGCATCCAAACTTGGACCAACTCTCCCTTACTGCCATGGATCCTTCCCATAGTAGGCCTGGTGATCATGATCATGCTTTTATTTGTTTCTACACCCCATTTTCTCTGCTTTATCCAGGAAAAGCTCTCTGAGATGAGCCTTCGCACTCCCAGACCCGGGAAAGCCATTCCTGTTATTGACAGATGAGCAACAGGGCGTTGCTCTAGGGGTTCTGGGCCAACCTACGCCAGTCCAGCGAGCAGTTGCTTATTTCTCTAAACAAATGGATCCCACTGTAAGAGGATGGCAGCCCTGCCTGCGTGCACTTGCGGCAGCTTCTCGTCTCGCTAGACCTAAGGCCTTAAAACCCACACTGGGCCAACCTGTAAATGTTAGTTCTCCACATCGGCTCCAGGACCTGCTCACTCATCAGGCTCTCTCCCCTCCATCACCCTCTTGTCTGTTAGATTTCTACTCTCTTTGTCAAAGACCCTCTCATCTCCCTCTCCCAATCCTCCACTCTCCATCCTGCCAGGCTTCACGGGTGTTCCACTCCCTAACGCAGGTAACACCCTCTTCTTACTACGGTGGACACCATCACCATTCGGACAGTGGACCTGCCTTTATCTCAAAGATTACTCCACAGGTCTCCTCCCTGGGCATCACCTGGGAACTACACATTCCCTCCCGACTGCAATCCTCTGGTAAGGTAGAACGGGTAAATGGTCTGACCAGAGACCACCTAGCCAAACTCTCCACAGAGCCCACAAATCCTGGGTGGAGCTGCTCCCACTGGTTTTAGTGCACCTCCGAGCCAGTCCCCATGGCCCCTTGTTCCTGACCCCCCTTGAACGGATGTGTGGCAGACCTCTTCTTACTAACCATGAGCTCCGCGTCCAACCTACACTGTTGGCTGGATATTTTCCATACTTCTCTTTGCTCAGACAGCTGCTCCAAGAACACGCAGACCTTTGTCTGCCACAACCTGTGCCTCCGTCCCCTGATGCACCTGTCAACCTGCTGTGCCCTGGAGACCAGGTTCTTCTGAAAGCCATCTCTTCAAAACCACTTCCGCCAAAGTGGATGGGTCCACACACGATCATCCTGACTACACCAATGGCTGTCAAGGCATCAGCTGTCCAGGGTCAAAGTGGTCCCTGTGGACAAGCAGTATGTATACGAGCACATGGGCCCAACTCGGGTTTGCATCAATGCATCCCTGGTCCACATCCCACTCAGCCTATAGAGTAGAGGCCCTCTGATTCTCCTTCCTCTGTTTCTTTTTTTTTTTTTGTTTTCAAAGATTTATTTATGCAAGCACTGGGTACAATCAGAAACACAGGAGGGTGAGAGAACTCACCAGAGACAAAGCGAAGAGCAGAACAGGCAGACTTGACGCAGCACACTGCTGAGGGGAGCAGTGGGCGGCAGGAGAGGTCTGCCCGCCATGTGGGACCCTCGCCTTGAGGCCAGGGATTGAACCGGTGCTGTAGAGGCTGTGGGCAGCTTCACAACCCAGCGCTCAACCGTCAACCGCTGCACCACCGGGGAGGCCCCTCTCCTTCCTCTGTTTCTAATCCCATCTCTTCAAGACACTTCCAGTTCTTCTGTCTATGCCCAGCAATTCCAGATCAGCACAGCCTCGGACCAGGTATTACCACTCACAGGGCTTCTTATCCTAATCTCCTCATTTTTTCTTTTTGCCCCATGCTTAGTCCATTTCATCCAACACCGGATCCAAGAACTGTCCCATACCACCTTTAACCAACTCCTTCTCCACCCATATCCTCGCGCTTCAAAGACTGTCTCATAACCAGGCCTGAGCGCCCACCCTGGTCTTCGCCCCTGGCAAGCAGGAAGTAGCCAAAGAGAGAACCATTTCACCTTTTCAACAAAATGCTGGTATGAAAGGTTGATGCAGGGGCCAGGAATGGGGAAGCCCACATACAAACAAGATGGTCCTGACACCAGTACCCCTGATTCCATCAAACCAAAACTGAAGCCATAAGCAGGAGAAAACAACTCAGCTCCACGAAAAAACAATTTAGTTCCCCCTAAGCCTGTTTCCCCCCCTGCCAACCCAGTTTTCCTGCCTAACCTCACCTCACCCTATGAAATGACATCTCCCCCCACAACGGGCACAATTTCAGGGACACCCATCTTGGGTACGACGCTTGCCTGGGGGCGCAATGAATTTTCACTTCCTTTGAGAAAGTTTAGCTTGGCTCCCCTTTTCTTTACTGCGCCAAACTGTTCAGGGCAGCCCCGGTATAAAAAGGGTTGTCTGACTGTTTCCCGATTCTGGTGGAGTGTTTCGGATTCTGGTGGAGCTGCCCGGACAGGGCCGGTTCTGAGATGGGCAGATTTGGGGGTCCTGGAGGGCGGCGTCCTGGTGGTGAGATGCTCTGTGAGGAGTCAGAGAAGCAGGGCTCAGAGGACAGGAGACTCGGGGGAATGCCCTGGGTGTGAGGTTTCCAGCTTTACTCCCCAGGACCCCTCTCTCCAGCCTCTGGATAACAAAACCTGGGGAAACAGGAAAGTAGATCATTTTTTCCTTTTACAACCTATTTAGTATTGAGGACTTTAAAAAAAAAAACCATAACATTTAATGAATACTGTTAAATTTACAGAAAAGTTGCAAAGATAGTACAGTTCTTATTCATCCCACACCATTTCCACTTTGTTAACATCTTACATGAATACAGTTGTATTTTTTTTTTCACAGCTAATGAAGCAATGTTGACACAGTGACCAAACTCTGTGCTTAATTTCATCAGTTTTTCCTAATGTACATTTTATGTTCCATAATCCAAATTGCCTCACTCAGTTACAGCCAGTTCTCCTCGATGTGCCTCTTGCTGACTGTTTCTCTGACTTTGCTTGTTTTTATAACGTTGACATTGGTGAGGAGTGATATTTTGGAGAGGTGTTGGGTTCACAATTGGGGTTCTTGGGTCACGTCTGAGAAAAGTTTCACCAGATTCCCCCTTTCACATACACAGTGAGTTTCCCCACAAGACAGAGACTTTTTGTTTCTGCCAAAGAGAAGTTTTATTATTTCTTTTTTTAAAAAAAGGAGAGTCAGAACCCTGCTACCCTCCCCCACCCACTGAGTAGGCTCTCTCCGACCAACGGAAAGGAGGGAAAAAAAAAAAAACTGCAAGAACGAACTACAGATCAAGTGGGACACTGAGTAGAGAGGAACTATTTCAGGCACCGCACCCCACAAATGGGAACTGTGGAGAACGGTGAAGAAATCACCACAGAGGTGATCGAGCGGCTCCGGGCGCCATCAGAGGAAGACAAGGACTCCACGGAGAACTATAAATAGCCTAAGGCCAGCCGAGAACCACTGGGAAAAAGCAAAGGTCAGCAAGGACAGGTCTCTGGTGCCACCTCATGACCAGAACAAAATCACCAACTAACTGATTCCCTGTTGGAACTAAGTAAATACAGAGGGAGGGAACTGTAAGGGACAGTGCCCAGCAACACAGCATCAACACTCTGGTGGAGTGTTGTCTCCAGTGCCAGTCTCAGTCTGGTGAACAGTTTCCGACACCCCTAAAGGAGCACTCCAAAGAGATGGAATCCACCCTTAGGACAACTTGGATCCTTCTCCTTTGGGGACTTGCTGGCGCGGGGTTGCACAGAGAGGAGGGGGCAGAGCTTGCTGGCTTTCAGGGCTGCTTCAGAACCCAGGGGTTCTCTGAGCCCCTCTGGCTGCCCCCCCCAACAGTAAATGGACTGACAGTGAAGAGGAGGAGGAAGAGGAGGACAAGGGTCCCCTGACAAAACTAAGCATCCCGGACGATCTAGACAGCTGCGAGGCCATGGTGAGCTCGGCCCTGGGGCCCCTTTCCTGCCCCACCTTCCCCCTCCCACCAGCACACCCTTCTTCTTGGTTTCCCTCCCTTTGATTAAGCTTTCACCCACCTCTGCTGGGAGCTAGTGGGTAGACACCAACACCATCCTCGAATCAGGTGTGCCCACGGAGGCCCTGAGAGGTGTGCCTCCCAACCTCCTGCCGGGCCCACAGGGGCACCCTGCACCTCTGGCCACAGGTGGCATTTTGTAACTCGGCCTTGGCCAGTGCTGAGGAAGAACAGGCGCGGCTACACAGACAGCTAAAGGAGCAAAAGCTGCTCTGCTGGCTCCTGGCTCAGCAGGTAGCCCCATGGGACCAGGAGACTGAGAAGATGGAGGCCCCAGCCCCCGGGGGGAAAGTGTGCCTGGGGAGACCCACCAGGCCCTTCAGGGAGCCATGGAGAAACTTCAGGTGAGTGTGTGTAAGGCAGGAAGGAATGGCCACTGGTCAGGTTTTCTGATCCAGCAGACCGGGTAAAGAACTGAGTCCTGGAAGTCTCAGTGAAATTTGCAGACTTTTATTGGGATTTACCAGATACATGGCAGGTAGGGGTGCTAGGGGGCCAGGAGGCTGACAGGCCTCCCGGCCCCCAGCAAGTCTTCACTCTTTCTGGGCTCTCTGGCCTTCTCTGGTGGTCTCTGCTGCTCTGCTCTCTCGGTTCTGCTTCTGCTTCTCTGCTTCTGCTGGCGTCCCCGTGACGCCACCCTTAAAAGCCCATCTTAGCCCAGGTGAATCCCATCTACCTATGCCCACACCCTACTCCAGGTGCCCGCATCAGGCATGCATTCGGGACCGCAGGGTTCCATCATCCATCCTATGGGCGGGAGAGCACATGCTGTGGGCTCCCTACCCATCCCCCAAAGATGGGCTCCTCAGCTCCTCACCCTCACTCAACTATGAGCAGGGCATCACCCACAGGTGATTTTAAAAGACTCACTGGCCTTTAGCTTACGTAGTGCGGCTGCCATGTTACTGGATACATGGCAGGTAGGGGTGCTAGGGGGTCAGGAGGCTGACAGGCCTCCCAGCCCCCAGCAAGTCTTCACTCTTTCTGGGCTCTCTGGCGTTCTCTGGTGGTCTCTGCTGCTCTGCTCTCTCGGTTCTGCTTACGTTTCTCTGCTTTTGCTGTGAATGCCACCCTTAAAAGCCCGGTCTTAGCCCAGGTGAATCCCATCTACATATGCCCACACCCTACTCCAGGTGCCTGCATCAGGCTTGCATTCAGACCACAGGGTTCCCTCATCTATCCTAAAGGCGGGAGGGCAGAAAAGCCTGATAGTTTTATCTTACCCTACAGTGTGGTTTTCCGGAGGGCTGGGCGGGCTGGGTGCTGGGCAGGCCGGCACTGCTGAGCCCCTGAGCCCGCTGTCTGGCCGAGGGCCGCTTTACCGAGCTCATGCAGGAGAAAGTGGGCTTACAGGACTGGATGGAGGAGCTGGAGCATCGATGTATCCAGATGTCTGGAGAGACTGACACCATCGGTGAGCGGGGAGGCTTGTGCCCTGCAGCTGGGGTGCTATGCAGAGGCTGGGGAGACCCCAGCAGCTGAGCTGTCTGCGCGCCCTCCCCCTAGGAGAATACATCACTCTCTACCAGAACCAGAGAGCAGTGATGAGGGAGGAGCACCAAGAGAAGGAGGAGTCCATAAGGCAGCTGGCCCAGGACAAAGAGGAGATGAAGGTAGTCAGAGCTCTGGCTCCATGGTGGTGCGGCTGGGGGCGGGGCGGGCTTCTGAGCATCTCTGCTTCCAGGTGAAGCTGTTAGCGCTGCAAGAGCTGGTTTTGCAGCTGGTGGAGGCACGCAACGAATGGCGGGCAAAGCCCTGAGCACCTGCCCAGAACCCTGCTGCTGAGCCCACTAGCGCATGCCTAGTCCCCAAGAAGCTTGGCACCGCCAACGTCCAAGGTGAGGAAAGCCCCTAACCGGCAGCTGGTCAGGAAGAGCACACTCCGCCAGGCACACAGCATCCTGTCTCTGTCTCTCTGTAGGGTAAAGAAAATATCAGGCTTTTCTGCCCTTCCGCCATCAGGATAGATGATGGATCCTTGTCCTGAATGCATGCCTGATGGTGGGCACCTGGAGTAGGGTGTGGGCATAGGTAGATGGGATTCAGCTGAGCTAAGACTGTGCTTTTAAGGGCGGCGTCACGGGGACGCCAGCAGCAGCAGTAGAAGCCGAAGCTGAAGCCGGAAGAGAAGCCGAGATCACCAGAGAGCCCAGATAAAGTGAAGATTTGCTGGGGGCTGGGAGGCCTGCCAGCCTCCTAGTCCCCCAGCCAGCACCCCTGCCTGCCATATGCCGGTGTAACCCCAATAAAAAACCTGCAAAACCACTGAGGACTCTGACTCCTCCTTTACCCGGTCTGCAAGGGATCAGAAAACCTGTGCTGTGCCCTGCTCCTGCCCTTACTCTCTCTAAAGAACCAAGTAAGGTGAGCCTTGTCCACGATGTGCAGCCGACCCAGGGCGAGGCCCAGCTAGGCCTGACTCCCCTCGAGAACGCCTCTGCGCAGCAGGTCGTTCAGCTGCTTCAAGAAATGCAGAAATCCCAGGAAGGCGTCACCATTGGAAACAGCCCATGCCTTCCCTTCTTCTACCAGGCTGACGAGAAGGAGGTGAAGATAATGGTGGTCTAGGCCACCGGCATGGGGCCGGAGGCTCTGCCCCCACCTGGCCCTCACCAACCCATCCCTGTTCCCCAGGCTTTCCCCCCCATCCTTTGGCTCTCCTTCCCAGTCGTCCTTTCATCCCTCGGCTTAAAAAAGGGGTACAACAACTCCCCTATCTAATAGGGTGAAATAGGTGCAGACCCTAGCCTCTGAGGTTAGGGCTGTGTCTTCATTTAACTCTGGACTAATCATACTTCCAGAGGCAAGGAGCTAGAAATATCCAGCTAGTTATTTAGGGGGCTCCGTTCTACAATAAGGGGCTCCTTGTATGACCAGTTGAATCCTTACCAGGCCTTCTTGCAGAGGGCCTAGGTTATATTAAGCAATTTTGGGCCACGTGCCCCCCACCTCACCCCAACCATGTCGAGCAGGGCAGCACTTTGAAAGCCCAGCACGGGGGCTAAGTGCAGACAGAGATACCAGCTGGGGCAGGTGGGCACCAACACCTGTCTAGAGTGTAGCCACAGAGATAGCAGTGGTTTATTTGAGACCACCCAGATCCACAAAGGGGTGGCCTCCCCTGCTCCCTTTTGAAATTTCCCCATGGGCCTTTGCACCCAATTTTGTTTTTGTTTTTTTTTTGTTTTGTTTTTAATTTTTTGTTGGACCCAATAATTGTTTTGATTTTTCTTTATTTTTTTTATTTTTACTTTTTGTTGCACCCAATTATTCTGGAGGTGATCCCTATCTGCAAAGGGGAGGCCTCTCCTACTACCTAGCAAAAGTCCCCATGGGCATGTGTGCCCGATTATTTTGTGGGAACCCACCTGTTAAGGGGGGGCTCTGCTCACTACACATGTCTTGCAGCTTGAGGTTACCCTGTCCCACTCACAAAAGTCCCGCGGGCATGAGGCCACCGCAGTCCTCAAAGGGGTGTCCTCCCCTGTCCCCGCTCACAAAAGGTCCGCGGGCATGAGGCCACCCCAATCTGCAAAGGGGTGGCCTCCCCCATCACCCCTCAAGTCCTGCGGGCATGAGGCCACCCCAATCCACAAAGGGGTGGCTTCCCCTGTCCTCCTCACAAAAGTCCCACGGGCATGAGGCCACCCCAATGTGCAAAGGGGTGGCCTCCTCCTTCCCCCCTCACAAAAGGCCCATGGGCATGAGGCCACCCAATCTGCAGAGGAGTGGCCTCTCCCGTCCCGCCCCTCACAAAAGATCCACACGCATGAAGCCACCCCAGTGCACAAAGGGGTGGTCTCCCCCTTGCCCCCTCACAAATGTATGAGGCCACCCCAATCCACAAAGGGGAGAACTCCCCCATCCCCCTCCTCACAAAAGTCCTGCAGGCATGAGGCCACCCCAATCCGCAAAGGGGTGGCCTCCCCCGTCGCTCCTCTCGAATGTCCCACAGGTATGAGGCCACCGCAGTCCACAAGGGGGTGGCCTCCACTTGCTGTCTTTGCAAAAGTCCCGTGGGCCTCTGTGCCTGATTATCTTGGGGCCACCCCGGATTTGCAGAGAGGTGGCCTTCACTGCTTCTTTTACAGAAAGTCCCCATAGAGGGAATGCATGGCTTACTCAGGTAATTTGGGGGTACACACTCCCCCAACCCTGTGGAAAACTGGGCTTGGCCAGAAGCGGGGCCGGGGTGGCTGGTGGAGGCCAGGCGGAAGGCGCGCGGGCACCCCGCGGTGTACATACTGTGCTGGGACGTGTGTACATGGGGCTGAGACGGCCCCTGTATCACAGCGGAGGCTGTGGTGGCCCCTGGGAGAGGAGGTTTCTATGAATCATTGGACATCAAGGAAACTTATTTATAGATCGCCCAGGACAGAGGAAGGAGGCAAGGCCAGGGAGTGGTTCCTGGTGTTTCACTTTTGTTTCTGAATAAACGGAACTCACCACGTGGTCGGGCCCTGGGTTCTGGGCTCAGGCGCTGCGCTGGGTGTGGGTCCTGCCAGCAGAGGGCAGGCTTCGGGGTGCAAGGTGCGCATTGGCGCTGCCTGTCAGGGCATCCAATCCCCCTCAGCTCTCTGACCTGTCGGGCCTGTGGGCTGCGTGCCGCCCCGGGAGGGCCAGAGTACTGGCTTCCAGCCTAGGCATTTCTCCTCTCACCCTGTTCTGGGGCTCCCACCCAGGCCCCATGAGTCCTCCAGGCTGGCACTCTACCCCTGGTGGCCACAGCAGGGTTCAGATGAAGACCAGCTAAGTCCAGGTGCTTTCCCGAGCAGCCTGGGAAAAACTGGGGCCTCCCAGGCACCCCTGAGCCCCCATGCTTAAACCTTTCCTTCCCCTTGAACGCCACAGAACACAGCCAACACACAACACGTTGCTCCCCATTGTTCAGAAATGGGTTTCATTCTCAGCCAAGAGACAGCAGGACTGGTCGCGGCCAGAAGCACACAGCTGCCGGGACAGCACCCCCAAGCTCGGGGAAGGGGCAGGAAGGTGCAGGGCGGGCTCACTGTGCGCAGGCCAGGAATGGCAGGGAGGCTCGTCGGAGGTGGCACTTGTTGGCGGGGGCGGCTGGGATGACAGTGTTTGCTTGTAGTTGGGCCACAAGACTCAGAAGGACAGCACAGCCGGCGGTTCCCAGCACCAGAGATGCGCGCTTGCACGTGTGTGTGTGTGTGTGTGTGTGTGTGTGTGTGTGGCGCGAAGGACCTCTCCTGCCACCCGCTGCTCCCCTCAGCAATATCTTCGGTCCTTCTGCCTGTTCTGCTCCCTGCTCTGGCTCTAGTGAATTCTCTCACCCTCCCACGCTTCTGACTTTACCCAGTGCTTATATAAATAAAAAAAAGAAAAAAGTTCTATTTGCAGAACTTCTAACCTCCTGGAATCCCCTGTGCAGAGTAAGCAGGTGGTCTCAGAGACTCTAGCTCCCTTTAGGGTGGCAGGTGCCAGCACACCAGCAGAGGACCTTACACTACTTCAAAGGAAATTGGCACCCCCTGATCACTGCAGCACTATTTACAGTAGCCGAGCTGTAGAAGGGATGGTACATAGATAATAGGATACTACTCATCAAGAAATATAAACTCATGCCATCTGGGGCAACATGGATGGAGCTAATGGAAATAAGCCCAAAGGAGAAAGACAAAAACATCACTTAGATATGGATATAGAGAAATTAAACAAAGGGCTAGATTAAGCTATACCTTGAGTCTCCCAGGTGGTGCCTGACTACTGGCTGGGGCTGCAGACCAGCCTAGACTTCCTGGCCTGACAGCACTGGATGGTGGACTGACCCTCTCTAGTTTGACATCAAACTTATTTGACGACAAAGCCTGACTCCTGCTGACTGAGTGCCCCATTGTCTTGTTTCACCTACACCACCACTGGGTCCCCAGCCTCTGCTATTTACTGGGTCTGAGATGGATCTTGTACTTGATGCTGCATGTAATTTTTTGTTTCTTTGTTTTTAGATTCATTTTTAATTTATTTATGCATATGAGAACTGGGGTACAGGCCAGAGGTGCAGAGGGTGAGAGGATTCACCAGACACAGAGTAGGGAGCAGAATAGGCCAATCCACTGAAATCACCTGCTGAGGGGAGTAGTGGGTGAGACAGGAGAGGTCTGCTGCCCCCTGTGGGTTGCTCCCTGGTCAGGAATCAAACTCAGGTCTAAGAAGTGATAGCACTCAGACTTAAACCTTATGCCCCCACGGAGGCCCTGTTTTTTGTTTTTTTTTTTTTTTACATCTTTTGATATTATTTAAAATAATAGAAGCACTCCTACTGCTCTACTTTCATAATAAACACGCTCCAGCCCTTGGCTCAGGTCAGGTTTACACGTGTCTTTGTCACCTTTACTCAGTGTCCATCTCTCACGACAGGGCAAGCTCCATGTCTCCAGGGTCCTCTCTCTGCTGCCATTGTGTCTGCAGGGGAGGCAGCTTGGGGAGGCAGGAGCCAGCCAGGGAGAGGGATGCTGGCAAGTGAAGAGGAGGCAAAGGCAGAGAACACTTGGGAGATGCTCCCTGGTTCACTGAGAAAAGCATTTCTCAAAGTGTTTGTGGAATCCTTGAAGTCACCCAGAGCCTGTCACAGGAGCCACGAGGTCAAAACTATTTTCTAAACGTCACGAAGACACCATTGGCTTTTACACTATTTTGATATCTGCTGAGGTAAAACTTACTAAAAATGGAGCTTATATTACTAACTGCAGTTATTCTTCACAACTACTTACCTCAGAAACACAACTCAAAGGCAGTGTCTTTCAAAGTGTCTTGGTTGAAGCATTAAAAATTATCTTCATTATTCTGTCATCCTCAAATCCACATTTTACAGCACCTGATGCGAGGACACGCAAGTGCACACACAACA